AAGAGAGAGAGATAAGAGAGATGAGGAAAGAAAGAGAGAGAGAAGAAGCGAGAGAGAGAGAGAAAGAAGAGAGAGAAGAGAGAGAAGACGAGAGAGAGAAGAGAAGAAAACAGACCCAGTAGGAGAGAGGGGTAGAGAGGGGAGGGAGAGGAGGAAGAGAGAGAGAAGAGAGGAGAGAAGGAGAGAAGGAAGAAGAAGAGAGAGACGGAGGAAGGAGAAGGAAAGAGAAGAGAAGAGAAAGAGAGAAGAGAAGAGAATGAGAGAAGAAGAGGAAAGCGAGAGAGAGAAAAGGAGAGAGACGAGAGAAAGACATAGAGATGGAAAGAGCAGAGAGAGAAAAGATGAGAGAGATTAGAAAGAGAGCAGAGAGAGAAAGAGAGAAGAGAGAGAGAGAAGAGAGGAGAGAACGAGAAGAGAGAGAGAGATGAGAGAGAGAGAGAGAGAGAGAGAGAGAGAGAGAGAGAATTAAGAATTTAAGACTGGAGTTAAATACCTTGATGGTAGGTAGACATTAAGATAAGCTTATCAAGATATTGAACACAGAGTTTAAGTAAACTGATATCAAACAGCACTATTCTCGTGGCCCACACAATCTGACTGAAATTTGAACATTCCAGAAAACAAATCTTTGTTTCTGAAGACTAAGATATGCTAAAACCAGGCAAATTTGGGTTATGAAATTTTATATTAATAATAATGTTAATTCACATGCTTTAATGCCATGTTCAAAATAGCATGTTATACTCATGATCAAAGTAGAACAAGGAGTAAGGCCCATATACTTTTTTGTAATGGCAGAAAGAAAATAAGGTCACTCACCTAAGGAAAATATTGTTTATCTGTTTTCTGATGAATGCTCTAAGACCCAAAAATTTGCCATATATCCTGTGAAGAACAGTCTTGAGAAAATCTCTTTCTCGGGGATCTTCACTGTCAAATAATTCCAAAAGCTGTAAAGGGGGGAAATAATCAGTCAAAAACCTCAATGTAGTAAACCAAAATATATTCAAATTTCATAAGAATATTGTCCATATACATTATAACATATCCAAAATGACTTTACATATCAAATAAGAGATAAAACACTAAATTTCCTTATTAAGAGGTAAGATACAAATTTCAACAATCTATTCACTAACAAAAAGGGAAATTCACCTGTAAAACGAATTTCTGATCTATTACTCTCTTGCCAATCGCAGGTTGAAAGTCTGGACTCTCTAAGAAACGTAGGAAGAACTCATAGACCAGCTGCAGGTGTGGCCAAGAAGCCTCTAGCGTTGGATCATCCTCCTCTGGGTCGAAGTCTGGGTTGTCCGAAGGGGGAAGTGTTCGGAAAAGATTGCAAGCAATCTGCAAGGAAGGAAATGGCCTTTTATTCACACAAATTATTCCCATAAACATTTTAGGTATCATGATACTCCTTCTAAAACAAGCTTAACCCCAACCCCAATCACCCAAATCGGCAAGAATAAATGCCATGCTTAGTGATATAAGCTCAATTATTGTCGTTACACATAGATGGCTCTACAAGTACTTAGTCATCCAGGAGTCAGTTATTAGTTGAACCTATCTCACCTGTTTACCCTTTTACAGGATTTATGAAATGCTTGTTTTGTATTACTTTATTGTCTTTAATGTTATTAACATTTTAATAACAATCTAATAATCATAATATAAGTGAGAATAACATCATCATCTATATTAAGTGTTAGAAGGAAAATCACATTTTTCCGTTACTTTAAGGAATAGGCATGTCAGGAGTGTGTGTGTATATTTATATTATTTATATATATATATATATATATATATATATATATATATATATATATATATATATATATATATGTATTCAACCACATCTATATAATTAAACCAACTGGTCCAGACGGCAAGAAAACATGCCATACCCACTGTAGTAATAGTTTATCAATTGTCTTTATGCACAGATGGCTCTACAAGTGCTTAGTCACCACCCTTTTTCCTGATATTTAGAAGGCTTTTTTCACCTTATTTGCATTTATTAGTATTCTAATAACATTATAATAACCCCTATGATCCGGATGACGTTATGGTCCTCTTATGGAAAAGTCTGGATCGAGGGCCAGGTCATGTGAACTTGGCATCATGAGTGAAGGCCCGGGTGACGGAAAAGACTTGCCACGAGTGAAAAAACTTCTTGAAGTGTGATTTGAGACATTTGCCACTTACAAAGGGGCTTTAGCATTATTCCCATTGATAAATGAATGTGGAATGTAACATGTATAAGCCATAAGGTAGGATGCCATTTCTATGCTGCTGTGACCAGTGGCCCAGGTTGTATTATGGAAAATTGAAAATAATGAAAAAATAAGATCTATGAAACAAATAGCCAAATGTTCCATACTTCTTTTTTCTTGTACTGAGTTATTTACTACATAGATATGGAGTCTGTACAAGGAAAATATGCTATTCCTATCTAGATAAAACAAATCAAAAGACATTTATAAATATTGGAAAATGGCAAAAAAGCTAAAATAATTTACACAAAATAACTTAGCAAAAGGGAGGCACAGAGTATCCTCACCGCTCGTGGGTGTTCGCGCGCACACAGCCTATGCCTGTATTTTTGGCACCATGATTTCCGTGATGCAACCAGATCCAAAGGGATAATTATAATACTAATAATGATAACAGTATCAATATCAATAGTATTAGTAAGAAAAACATTTTCCCACTAATGCAACTAATTGGGTAATTGGGCACAGTCACTAGGATCTACTAATTGACTCCATGATGCCTAAGAACATGTAGAGCCATTTGAATGCGACAAAATTTACAAAAAACTACAGTGGACAGTACATAAACCCAAGACAATGGGTTAAGCATTTATGAGTAGAGGTGCAGGAAGTACATACCAACAGAAAGTAAATATCTCTTCTGGGTGAATAACAACCAGGCTAACTTTAAGATTTCAAGAACTTTGTCCTTCTAGTAATGAGAAAAACCCTTTATATGCAAATATGCTTTACCTTTTTGTATAACTCAAGCCAATATCAAATGCCAAGTCCAATGTGAGTTTAGTTCATCAATTGCACTTACATATAGATGGCTTTACAAGTCCTTAGTCACCAAAAAGTCTATTACTAGTGCTACCTGTCTCACCTGTTTACCATTTTCCTTTTTTTTTTTTTTTTTTTTTTCTTATACTGTTACCAATTCTAATAACATTATTATCATCTTCATGTCTATAATATAAAAAACAGAATTGATATTGATAACATTTGTAAAATAATAAAAAAGACATCAAGGAAAGGTACAACCAAGTCATGTGGTCTACTAATTGACTCCTTGGTGGCTGAACACTTGAATTTTGCAAAGAAATATTTTGTAAAACAAAACTACAACCATTAGATTTTCCTGGAGGCAGCCAGTTCTTAATCCACTGGCACTGGATTAAGATCTGCCAAGTTTTCCTCTTAATCTTTTAAAGTAAACTGGGAATCAAAAACTAATTAGATTAGTGTCATAAAGGGCTCTTTCTCATCTCTGACACACTAATAAATTACCATGACACTGCATCCTTCATAAAAGTGTATTTCTATATACATTCATAATGATGTATAATTCATCAGATGTTCATCTGTTGGTCCTGCCTTTTAACAAAAAAAAGTGAAACTACACAGTACAGTGAATTTAACAATAAGATTTTATATTCTACTTCGGCTCTATATAGCAAGCTGCATTCATATTGTGTTCATAGATTGTATTGTATTACTGTGCTATATCATTTTCTAAATACTAATATGAGTCCAAATATGAAGTGTTCTTAAAAATCATCCTCTCATGCATGGTCTCCTTGTTTCCTATGCTGTAGTGGTTGGACTTATCAATGTCATGTTCTTCATAACCCAACCTATGCTTCTTTCAAATTATCTTCAGCTATTAAATTTTCCTGATAAGAATGTACTTCTCATATATATGTGATTGTAAGTGTAATTTGGTGGGGGAAATTCAATAAGTATAATTTTTTGTTTACTGTGTGTAATGCTCACTTTATGTTGGTACTCCTTTCATACACAAAATTTTGAAAATAAGGATTATTTTCTGGCAATGTTAGATTATTTTTTTCTATGATAACTCAAAACTCCTCATGTAAATATTCTGAAGGGAAAGGTTTAAAAGAATTTACATTTCATATCAATACTAAATACACCATTCACTTTTCATGAGTCCTAATGGTAAGTGATGGAAATTATCTAAAATACACTTTAATACGGTGGCTTATATTCAAGTTAAAATGGAAGCATTAGTACACAATAAATAATCTATACTGAAATAAGTATGTAACATAATATAGAGAAAGGAAAACAATACTTGACAAAAATAGAAAAGCCTCACATTGGAATTCATAAACCATTAATTATTAAGGATGGAATATAAACTGTACTGATACAAAATTAAAAGGTAAAAAATAATCTATATGTGTACCTTGAAATTGAAAAATTCTAGAAATTCTAGAAATTCAAAGAAATTCATATCTTACAAGAAATTAACCACTACAGATATCAAACTGATAAAGACACTTGCTGCTCTGATGATAAGAGGAATAACTTTTGCTTTTTATGATTCTGTGGGCACTGTGTTAAAGACAGAAGCTACCATGTTTCTGTCAGCTATACAGGCAAAGTTTTCCATTCTTTTCCAAATACAAAATGAAACTACAACTTATGAACATGTCATCATAGGTATGCATTCTCATAAAAAAAAAAAAAAAAAAAAAAAAAAAAACATCAGAATCAAATTATAGTGCAATAAAAATATAGACAACAGCTAAATAAGACACAAAACAGAATTAATGCATATCTAACCCTTGAATTAGAACTAAAATGCCAGATGTCCTCAATCAAGGTGCACACAAGCCAAAGCCAACCCTTCAATTGAAGCAATACCTTCATCCAAAAAACATAATGAAACCATCTAAAAAGCACAATGTTTCAAAAGGATTGTACTTTTTCATGAACCCTTGTTTATAGGATGAATATTAGGAGTTCAGGAATCACAGTGAGTAAGAGTTGGGTTAACTACCAAGCCTAAACAAAATTCAGGTGTTAAAGCATTAAACTGACTGAAAGACTTTCAGGAGTGCCTAAGACTCAGTAGCCATTTAGGCAATTTTTTCAATCAGTAAAAACGTGTTGCACTATGACTGG